ATTGCTTGCACTTGTGCGAAGGTTATAGGCATAGTACAATTAACTTACAATAGGTGGCGCGCGAATTGTACCGACAAATTCACATCACTCAACTTCAGTGAATGCATTATCATTCCTAATTAAATAATAAAACTATTCCAAATTTAAAATAATATTTCGAGTATATTTTTTCTGTGGCAGCTATGCACCGGGTACGGGCTAGTTTATGTATAATTTTTCATAATGTTATTGCCAAAAAAATTATAATCTGTGGTCGAACAGTAGCAAAGGGTAAATATTTTAGTCATATTATTATTATTTTATTTCGTGTCATTTCAATGGTTCCTTTTTGAATAGTCTGTACAGTGTATGTCAAGGCAAAAAAGCGTTTATTTTATATTGTGTTATTCATATTATAGTTTTTGTTGTTATTTATATGATATATCTGTATGTGTATGTAAACTAATCATTTACATGCAACAAAAATTTAGCTTTTCATGTCGTAGGTGCAAGTTTGAACCTGCACGCAAAGTTTTATACATATATGGTACGCGTGTCCATCCTGTTTATTTTTCTTTTATAATGATTTCTTATATTTACGCGAACACTACACATTGAATAAAACTATTTTTACGGATTTTATCGCGTTTCGATCGATTCGTCAACTTACAAATTGGCTCAACACCTAGCAAAATTACTATCACCACTCAGAGGACACACAAGAGCACACACGAAGGATTCATACCATTTTGTCAGTGAGATAAAAGACCTATGTCTTACTGACAATGAAACTATGGTCAGTTTTGATGTTCAGTCTTTATTTACATTCCTACCTGTTGAAGACTGCATCTCAATTGTAACTAGGAAACTAGAGGAAAACAACACGCCAGCAGAATATGCAGTATTACTCAGGCATTGCCTTACATCTGGCTATCTATTGTGGAATGAACAGTTTTACAAGCAAGTAGATGGTGTTGCGATGGGCTCACCAGTATCTCCCATTGTTGCCGATATTTCATGGAGGACTTTGAGGAGAAAGCCCTGCTTACTGCACCAGTAACTCCAAGTTTCTACAAGCGGTACGTAGAAAATAATTCTTTAGCTTTCCTACATGTGTTAGTCATTAGAAATCCTGATAATACCATAGGTCACACTGTGTATAGAAAAAAGACCCATACAAACCGATATTTAAACGGTGAATCCCACCATCACCCTTCACAGTTAGCTACCGTGGGCAAATCTTTGTTACAGAGAGCACGAGGGATCTGTGACAGCAAACACCTGGCCGCCGAGCTTCAGCACGTCAAGCAGGTTCTGCACGACAACAAGCTTCGGGTTCCACGCCTACGTCACAGTGACCGAGTGAAGCCGGCCACAGTCGAGCGTGTGCCTGCTGTACTACCGTACGTCAGAGGTGTCACAGACAAGATTGGCTACATCTTGAAACGAGCTTCTATTAGAACATTCTTCAAGCCGCCGAAGAAGATTAGTCAGTTCTTACCATCCGTCAAGTGCAATATTCCTCTACAAGATGCAGGAGTGTACAAGCTTGATTGTGAGTGTGGTCTCTCATATATAGGGCAAACAAAACGATCTATAAAAACCCGCGTAAAAGAACACATAGCTGACGTGAAGCACCAACGTTTCGGGAAGTCTGCAGTTTGTGATCATATCCTAGACGGTCCCCGCCATTACATTAGATTTGATAAACCACAAATTCTCGCAAAAGAACATCGATTCCTGCCAAGGATGATACGTGAGGCTATTGAAATTAAAAAACATCCTAATTTCAATAGAGAGGGAAGGTAATTCATAAAATTAAAACTAAACCCAAGCATACCACTGCAAGACTTCAAGACACAGTTAGTTCATTCTGCGTAGATCGGACCAAAATTATTAATTAAAAAAGCTGAAGGTACTCCGGTTTAACACTGACATCGGGACGTCAATCACCTCAGTCCCCAAGATTTACAAAAAAACTCAGCAGGCAAGACCTCTGCTACCACCTCGTCGATCTCTGCTGACTTCGAGTCTTTTAAAGTTTTTATTGTGGCCGCATTCAATACTATGCAGCAGCAAATGGAGTTTTTTATGGCTGGAAATGGATCGCCAGGAAATGCGGAGAAGGCGGAAGATGCTACTCTTGCATGGCTTACCAGAGGCTAAGACGGAGGACCTTACTGCGCGCGTCACTTGATTGGTTGCGGAGCACTTGGACCTGTCAAATTTTCCTAGTTCCAGCATCAAGGCCAGTTATTGCCTAGGCCGTCCTACCGACAATAGACCCAGGCCTGTTGTTGTGAAGTTCGCTGAACTGGCTGTCCGTAACAAGGTGTGGTTTGCGAAAACTAAATTCAAAGGCACTGGCATTACCCAATCTGAGTTTTTGACAAAGTCTCGGCATGCAGTATTTCTGGAAGCTCGGAAGCGGTTTGGAATCACTAAGTGTTGGACACGCGACGGATACATTTACATCATTGGTTCGGATGGGACCCATCACCAAGTAGAATGTTTGCGCGAGCTTGAGAGCATTCCCGGAGGGTCAAAGTCGATACATACAGCAACATTGCAGGTCCAAAGTTCTGTACAGGCGGCTAAAAGCCCGGTGACTGGATTACCTCTTCCCCGTTCAAGGCGAATGGTTAAAAAATAAGATAATGCTTAAATTAGATTTTAGTTTGTTGTTCAAATGTAGCGTTCGTTGTGTTCAAGCAGTTTCTTTTTCTCATAATTATTTCACGTAGTAATTTAATAAATTAATTATAATAATTTATGTAGTAATAACATTTTGCTCATAAATTATGAAACACTATTGTAATTTTTTGCTTCACTCATTGCCTTACCAGAATATTCATATCTAACAATGTGTTCACAAACTATATAGAAACATTACGCATTAATGTGTCACTTTGATTGTTAATCATAGACTTAACTTAATTTTAAATTTCTCATTTTTGCTATAGATTCCTGTACTTTGAGTAATACTTTCTGAGTACTTTGTTGTTTTTTTTTATTTGTGTTTATCTCTTGTAAGTTACTTTTATTTTTATTTTTTTTGATTTGTGTTTATGTTTGTAGTATGCATTAAAAATAATATTAATGTTTAACATGTCATGTTCCCCTATCTTATGTAGACTCATGTTACAACATTTTTATTCTTTTTTTTATTACTTTTTTCTGTTATTTTGATACGAGTGGTGATGACGGTCTGTTGCTGGTGGGTTTTATGACCTGTCTTTTTTATTATTATTTATATTCCATTTTATTTATTTAAGTAATTTATATTTAGTATTAATATTTAATATTCAATATGTCTTTTCAAGATATAAGCCTAGACGACTCCTTTTTTCACCTTCATCCTCTGATGGATTGAATAGTAGTAATAGTTTCTACAGCCTCCCTTCTCTAAATCAAACATTAGATTCGCACTTCTCAGATCTATTGAAAAATTTCAACATTATCCATATTAATGCCCAGAGTATTCCAGCACATTATCCAAACATGCTCTCCTCATTTGATAATAAAAACATACATGCTATTTTGATATCTGAATCTTGGTTTAAGCCTTGTTTGTCCTCTACATCATATGCTCTTCCAGGTTTTTAACTAATAAGGAATGATCGGATTACTCGGGTTGGTGGAGGTGTTGCTATCTACCTTCGGTCACACTTACCATTTACAATTATAAGTATGTCAACTGACCAGGGCACTACAGGAGCTGAACATTTAATTATTGAAGTTTTTTTTCTGGTTCCAAGCTACTACTTGACGTGTTTTATAATCCTAGCCTTACAGTTGACTACTTTTCTATGTTTGAAAGCAACTTAGACAAATATATTCCACTGTATCAACACTCTATCATTATGGGTGATTTTAACACGTGCCTTCTTAAAAATGACTCGCGTTCCTTTCGATTGATATCTATAGCTCAAGCAGCTAACTTACATATTCTCCCTCTTTCTGCTACTCACTTTTTTCCAAATTGTTCGCCATCTCTTCTGGACCATATCCTTGTTTCTTCCATTGATCATGTTGATAAACATGGTCAGTGTCCTGCTGATGCATTTTCATATCACGACTTGATTTACTTATCATACAAATTACGACCACCTAAACCTAAATCGAGAATCCTTCTGCTGCGTAATTTTGATGGTATGGATTTAGATCGTCTGAGAGATGGGGGTGCGAAGATCGACTGGAATGTTGTTCTCACTGGAGCTAATATTGACGAAAGGGTTAATAGCTTTAATTCTCTTTTAATACAACTCTACGACGTTCATGCTCCAATTTGGCCGTTCCGGATTAAGCATTTGCCTGCTCCCTGGCTTACTCAGGAGATCAAAATTTTCAGCGTAAGAAAAATTTTGCAAAAGCCAGGTATAAATTTGATAACTGTGATACCAATAGAGATAAATATAAAAAAATTCGGAATCACTGCAACAGGTTGTGTAGAGATAAACAACGACGCTATATTCATAAATCTATACTCGATGAAGATAATTCCGGCAGAGTATGGAAATTTCTTAAGTCTCTTGGTGTACAATGCCCCAAAAATAAAACACAATACTCAGTGGTGAGAATAGGTAACAACCATTTTAATTCATTCAACACTACATGTAAAACAGGTGAACCATTATATCGCGGTACAGAAATCGTAATACGCCATCTAGCGCTGTTGCTTCGAACTTGTACAACACAAACATATGTTGTACGTTGTTAAGAAAATAATTTATCGGGTCTTAACATTCCGCCCGCCATGGACTAAGTCCATAATTAACAATTTTTAGATTTTAGGCAACTTATAAACGAAAAAGGTAACAAAAATTAGGCTCTTATTTCAAATTAACTTTCAATAAAAATGATACAGAAAACAACAATAAATAAAGGCATACTTGAGTCTATGAATGAATGGTTACATAAAAATGTAGTGATTGAACATGTAGACTTTCTTATAAAAAAAAATGTAAACAAAGGAGGAAACTTGACAATGGTTATTATTTTATGACAATTAAATCTTAAATTTAAACACAATCTTTGGGTAATAATACTAATTTAGATACTGGTCGTTTTATGATATTGCCCTTATATTTTAAGCTTACTACGCGCGTGAGACCGTCCAACCCTGGGTGCTTATCGGTGATGATACCTAGTAACCACCTCGCTGGTGGGAGATCGTCTTCTTTGACCAATACTACACTTCCCACGTCTGGTTCAGGAACTTGGCCCGACCATTTATAACGATGATGGAGCTGAGTCAGATACTCTTGGGACCATCTACGCCAGAAGTCCTGGACCATGCGTTGGGTTAAATTCCACCTACTCAGGGCACTAATATTAGAGGTTTCGTAATTCATGTCTGGTACGAGAACAAGAGGTTCGCCTACTAAAAAGTGACCCGGAGTAAGTGGATTTGGGTCATCAGGGTTGTTCGATATCTGACAAATGGGTCTCGAGTTGAGGCACGCCTCAATCTGAGACAACGTGGTAGTCAACTCTTCAAAAGTAAGGGTGCTATCTCCAATTACACGTTTTAGATGGTACTTGGCAGATTTAATACCTGCCTCCCACAACCCTCCAAAGTTTGGAGAGTGGGGAGGAATAAAGTGCCAGTTAGTACCATTTGAGGACATCCAGACCTGTATTTCCGCCACTACAACACACCTTTCTGCGGAAAACAATTTTGTAAGCTCTTTAGCACTTCCTACAAAGTTAGTGCCGTTATCGCTCCACAAGTCAGAGACATGGCCTCTTCGTGCGACAAATCTTTTGAATGCAGCCAAGAAGCTTTGCGCAGTCATGTCGCTGACCACCTCAAGGTGTAGGGCTTTCGTTACCATGCACACAAATAAGCATATGTAGCCCTTTGTGGAGCGATAACCGCGACCCTTTGTAGGTCTGACTTGAATTGGACCCGCGTAATCAACTCCACTCTTGTGGAAAGGTCTGTGTGGGGTAACTCGTGATGATGGTAGCTGACCCATCATCTGCTGGCTTGTTTGTGCCGAGTAGCGGATGCAGGTCACACACCTGCGGACAAACTGACGAACGAGACTTTTAGCGCCAATTATCCAATATCTACTTTTAAGATAATTGAGCATGATTTGAGGCCATTGCATCGTTTTAGAATGAGCCTCGTCGATTATCAAATTTGTGAAAGCTGACTTGTGGGGAAGAATGATGGGGTGTCTCGTATCTTTATCGACGTTCGCCCTCTGTAGTCTTCCACCAACTCTAAGAATTTGGTAAGTGTCCAAAAAGGGATTCAACGAGGTAAGTTTACTTTTTTTTTTAACTTTCTTTTCCTTTCTAGGTCTCCTATGTCTTCACTAAAACTTCGTCGCTGACACATCTTGATACAGGAAAGTAACAATTCATTGATTTCCCTTGCCGTTAATTGTGTACTAATCTTCTTCCTTTTTTCTTTAGGTTCCTTCCAGTGTAGGACTCTACGGCAGAACGACACAACTCGGGTAAGTTTTTTCAGGGATGAATATTTCGATAGTAGATTATCTTCTTCATTATTTGCTGCCGTCATGTAGGTCTTAATTTTTTGTTTCCTCTCTTCTAGGGTTGTGTCCGTTATATTCCTTTCGTAATTTATTACGTCAAACCATAACCAATCAGGGCCTTGATGCCAAAGCTGGTTTGTCACACATTCAGATGGCATTAAGCCTCGCGATGCAGGGTCTGCTGGGTTCTCCTTTGAGGCCACATGCGATCATTGGTCTGTATCCATAACTGAAAGAATCTCAGAAACCCTGTTTGCGATGAATGTTTTCCATCGACTGGGATGGCTACTGAGCTAAGAGAACTATTGAAGAATCGGACCAAGCGTGTATATGTTCTTTAGGTATTTTCAGTACCTCCGATATTTCATTCAGTAGTTTCGCCAGCAAAACCGCACCGCAGAGTTCTAGGCGAGGGATTTAGATTTGTTTTATCGGAGCTACTCTCGTTTTAGAAGTGATCAGATTTACGTGAACTTTTCCCTGAGCATCCACGATGCGCGCATATACTACTGCTGCATATGCCGCATTTGATGCGTCTGAGAATCCATGTAACTCACAGACCTGATCGTTTGGATGCGAGTGAATCCATCGAGGAAATCGCATCTTAGCTAAATTGGGCAAATCGTTGCGGAATTCTACCCATTCCTTAAGTAGGGATGACGGTAGTTCTTGATCCCAGTTGATTCCAGTTAGCCATATCCTCTGTATAAAGATCTTCTCTGTGATGACAGTTGGCGCCAATCAACCCAATGGATCAAAGAGCCGAGCAATGTCGGAGATCATTATACGCTTCGTAACGAGAGCTTGGAGTGGTGGGAGGTCGACGGTACACTGGAATTCGTCGGTGTCCCTGTTCCATTTCAGGCCGAGAATTTTGATCACTTCGTCTGTTTTCAACACCAGAGAATTATTGGACTCCTTGGTGTCAGTCTGCATTTTATTCAATAAATCGACGCTATTACTAGACCACTTCTGAAGTGGAAATCCCCCACGTTTCAATAAAGCATTCATCTGATCATAGATCTGAACGCCTTCGGCTACTGTATAGCAACCGGACAGGTCGTCCATATAAAATTCGTACAGCACCTTCGGCACTGCTAATGGAAATTTGGAACCTTCGTCATGGGCTAATTGTTGAAGACATCGAACAGCCAAATAAGGTGCTGATGAGGTGCCAAAGGTAACTCGCAAAAAGCGAAGATGCTGAAGTTCAGCATCTGGACTTTCGCGCCAAAATATGCGCTGAAAATCTAAGTCCTCATCAGCTACTCTTATTTGTCTGTACATCTTGACGATGTCAGCTACTAGAGCGATAGGGTAACATCGCCATCGCATTACAATATGACGAAGTTCCGGTTGAAGTGTGGGGCCTACCATCAACTCATTATTAAGGGATACCCCATTTGAATCCGTACAAGATGCGTCCACAACCATACGCACCTTTGTAGTGGTCTTGTCATGACGTACTACGGCGTGATGTGGGAGATATACTGATTTCTTCGCAACTTCGTTAGAACTCACTGCTTCCATATGGCCAGAACTTATATACTCATTTATAACCTTTGAGTATGCGACTTTAAGTTCTGGGTCCTTCAATAAACGCTTTTCCAAAAGCAGAAAACGTTTGTTCGCTATATCCTTTAGATTACCACGTAGACATAGTGGATGATCCCTTTTGAATGGTAATCGTACGACATACCTACCGGTCTCATCACGCCTTGTTGATTTGGTAAAGAATTCCTCGCATCTCTGCTCTTCTTGAGACAAACGGTTGCACATACCAAGAGATGGTTCGGACTCCAATTCCCAAAATCTTTTGAGAATTTCGTTCTCGTTGGTTTGCATGGTGTGTAGACTTACTACATTCATGCACGTTTCGCTACCTTTCGTGACTTCTCCCTTATGGCTGGGTATTCTGCCAGATAGGACCCAGCCCAATCTCGTGCGTTGAGCAACCATTGAATTAGACGGGCCCCTGATTATCCCTTCCATTAGAATCTGGCTATATACCTCAGCCCCGAGGAGCAAGTCGATTTTATTTGGCATATCAAATGTAGGATCCGCCAACATATTCGACGGAAGTACGGGCAACACTTGAACAACGACTTACTACTTGGTAGAAAGGTTGTGAGTCTGCTGAGTACATGAGCTTTAACAGTAATTGTAAAGCTTGGGTCAAGACGGGACTGAAATTTTATAAACACAAACGACTTTGAAGCTAAGGTCGCTTGGTCACTGCCAAGACCTGATACAAGACTGGCCCCAGGAGTCCTTTTGCGTGCCAACATTTGTACAGCAGACTCTGTTATAAACGATGCCTGAGACCCCTGATCTAGAAGAGATCTCAGGACAAAGGTAGATTTCGTTTTAGGACACTCTACCTTTACTAGGGCGGTAGCCAATAAGACTTGCCCGAGCATGTTTGAAACACAAGTGACTACTTGTGGAATTGATTGCTCACCACTGGTTAGAGGTAAATTTGGCTTAACTCTTTCAGCCTCCTTCACAGGCTCATCAGCCGTGACACTCTTAGGATCGCTAGCTGATTTTGGATTTTTGGGATGTAGTAGGCTGTGGTGTTTTTTTCTACAGAGTCGACACCTAGTTGACGCTGTACACTGATATACCGAATGATCTGAACCGAAGCAATTAAAACATAAACGATGAGTTTGAACGAACTCACGACGCGCATCGACACTTTCTTTAGAGAATTTTTTACAATTAAACAACTTATGATTTAAAGTACAGAAAGCACAGGCTACTAAAGTAGTGGCAACATGAGTTCAGTTCGCCTTTTCGACCCTTTGAACCCTGGTATCCAAAAACTCCAAAGACCGGAATCTACTTTGCAAAAACTCCTCAAACTACTAGGCAAATCCTGAACAGAATCGGAAACCCTTTGTTCCCACTGCTTGCGGGATTCGGGATCCAATTTTTGAGTAATGAGAAAAATTATAATTATGTCCCAGTCACTAGTTTTAACGCCAATATTTTCTAGTGCATGTAAGCATTCCTTCGTGGTATCTAATAACTGTTTAATGGCACCCGCGGACTCTGATACTAAAGCCCTTTGGCTAGTTAACCTCTTCAAAATATTATTAGCCAAAAATCTCTTATTGTTGTAGCGACTTTCTAATTGTTCCCAGCAGACTTGATAATTATCCGACGTTATTGGGATATGTCGCAACAATTGTTCTGCTTCACCTGTTACACTACTTTTTAGATAATGAAGGTTTTGGACATCATCGATACCAGGGTTCTTGTGTACTAAGGAAGTGAATAAATCACGGAAGCTCACCCACTCGGTGTACCTCCCGGAAAATTTGGGCAATGTAATTTTCGGCAAGCTAACTGAAGGTTTTTCGCTAGCTATATTAACAGGTTCTACAATATTATCAGCACTATACCTAAACAATGTTTCCTTTAGTAATGTCTTATATTCGAAATAAAGTTCCTCAGTTTGATCATAAATATGCCCTGTATGGTAAATAGATTTTTCCAAGTCCTCTTTCCTAAGTTCATATACAATTTTACGATGATTTTGCGAAAACACAGTCCAATTGCTTTCTAAAGATTCTAAACGCGTTTCAATATACGATTTTGTTATTCTTTCTTTAGGGGATTTTTTGAAGTTTATTTGAGATTTTTTTAATTTTTGATGCAATATCCTCTTGAACCTTTACATAATTGTCAGCCATGTTTCGTAAATTTTACAGTTATAAATTAAAAAAAAAAACAATAGCAATGTCCAAAAAAAAAAAAAACAAACTGAGGAAATATCTCAATACACACGCTCACTTAACATTAAATACAAGTCCCTGTAGATAAATGACCAAAAATTTTACAAAGTCCGACGATACGCAAATTTTTCTAAGTTGATTGTTAACGACAAAGATTTTTACAAGTCCAAGACGACATACACGAGATTATTCTGAGTGTTAATTTGACATCGAAAACTTTACAAGTCCAACATTACACGAAATTATTCTAAGTGATAAATTGACAATAAAACACAATACTCAGTGGTGAGAATAGGTAACAACCATTTTAATTCATTCAACACTACATGTAAAACAGGTGAACCATTATATCGCGATACAGAAATCGTAATACGCCATCTAGCGCTGTTGCTTCGAACTTGTACAACACAAACATATGTTGTACGTTGTTAAGAAAATAATTTATCGGGTCTTAACACTTGGAGTTGGGAAAGCGAGTCAAAATAGTAGCCCCAAAAATATTGATTTAAACCAGCTAAATCAGCATTTATCTTCTTCTTGTGCCATAGATGAGGTCACAAAAATACAAACTAAAACTCAAATTTCAGTTTGAAATCTGACAATCCTGCGTTTATTTTTAGTCAAATCACTGATAGTGATGTTAAGAAAAGCATTGTTGAGATGAATTCTGATGCAATTAGTACAGACTGCATTAGTCGTAAAATGATTATCCCTATTGTCGATATCTTGACT